TTTGGCTAGCGGTTATCCATGTAATATACTTGAAGAGGCTCTCAAAAGAGCAAAGTTGGTTCATACTGCACCTGAGGCACGAATAGATAAAGCAGTGAATTCCAGACTTATTTTTCCAATTCAGTTTAATACCGCAAGCACAGAGATTACTTCATCGATTCGAAATAACTGGAATATCTTAGCATTGGATCCTACTCTTCCAGAGAATTTTCGCCAGAAACCACTGTTTTGTTATCGACGAAATAGGAATTTGAGAGATATGTTGGTGAAAACAGATCCACAACATTGTTATGGAACTGCCACTCGAGGTAGTATGAATGTAGGGTGTGTAAGGTGTTTGGGATGTGTCACATGTGGACACATAATCCCTTCCAAAACCTTTAGTCACCCATACACGGGCAAGGTCTACAGAATTCAACATCGAATTCACTGTAGGAGTGAATTTGTTATTTATAAATTGACCTGCCTGTGTGGTCTTAACTATATTGGCAAAACAGAGACAGCTCTTTGTGAGAGAATTCTTGGAACTACAACATCAACTTTCATCCTTAAGATGTGTTGCAATTGATCATGTCCCGATACCGGTCCGTGGGGGGTGACCATCTGAACCTGCAAATGTGAAGGAGAAGGATGAACAGACAGGCGTGATACATTCACAGTTAACATGGAATATATGAAAAATGAATCATCAACATCATTATCAGAAAGACTCCGAAGAAAAAAAGACTGTACCTGAATTATCTTATACAGTAAGAAAGAAATGCAAAGATGCAAGCAAAAGGATGCTAGAAAATTGGTTATGGTGTCTCATTCTTACAATCTGCAGCATTATCATAACATCAACCTTAGCTGTCGTTTTAAAACTGCATTGGAATTATGTTAAAAAGCAGGAAGCACCTGGACTGAATTGGACTGCACACTATACAATTTCTTTGATCGTGAGGACTACCTCCAAGAACCATCTCAAAAGGAGGGACACAGCTCACAGTGAAATGATTGCTAATGTGACCTACACTGGTATTTCACAAGGAACCTATTGGGATCATTCCAAAAACCGATTATACACAAGAAAGATGTGATTGGACTATTACAAATCCTAATAATGGACTCAACGGTGATGGCAAAGCATGCTGCATTAGATGCATTCCTTAGCACAGGCTTGAGTTAAGAGAGAAAAAAAATGTGTCTTTTTGTATTCTGTTACAAAATGGACTCACCTCTGCTATAATGGTGACTTACATTATACATTTTTCATTTCTATCTAAACACTAAATGTCTGCCAGTGTAGATACCCTGACACCACAGGAGAGCGAAGCAAGAAGCCATCTTGGCAGTAGTACAGGGAGAGCACAGCTGCAAAACCTCTTGCCAAATTTAAGTGTATAATATTATCTTTTTCTCTCCCCTAATGGCTCCAGTGACTGCATGAAGTCTGATTATTCAAATATATAATTAATATATAAAGCCAGGAAAGCCCAGTGGTAACAAGGGGAGGGGGACATTTCTGACACAGAGCACTGTGCTGCTCGTCACAAATATATTTTAAGAACTCACACTGCACATACCCATCTTCTTTAAAGTGCTCAGTAAATCTATAGATGAGACCTGAGTCTATCATGCTGTGGCTAGCTGAACAGTTGTGAATCTTCAAACTGCATGGCTGAGGCTGTTTTAATCTGTAATGATTGTTGCTTCTGTTAACCAAGTCAGCTACATTTTGGCTCTATATTACTACTGCAGATTAATTATACTGCCAGTTGCAATTCTACTGCCAGTTGCTGAGAGCTAAAAGTGAAAAGAATAAACAAATCAGGAGTAGCTGACATTGTTGGAGTCTATCAGTATCTTGATGCTTTATCCATGTGCACACAGTGTGCTGATTATATAATGGAGTAGCTGGCATGTTTCATAACAGCAACAATATTCATGAAAGGAGAGATAAGAGGAAAGATCATGAAAGGAGAGATAAGTGGAAGACTGAGAGAGAGAGCTGGAGTATTTTACTGAAAGACAGTGGGCATCTCTGTATTGCAGCTCATTATAATCCATCACAGTGATCCTGGCTGTGTGGAACAGTTATGTTATCTTCTTATTGTGCCCAGTGCTGTGTGTTATTTCTGTGAATTTTACAAAGCTCTACCTGTTGTATGGGTCTACCCAGCTCTGTGTATTTTATAGGTATCATTTTGTTTTGTACACAACAACAAAAAAGAAGCCACAGGCACTAAGCACTGTGGCATATATGTATGGTGGCAATGAAGGAGTTAATCTGTTTTGTCTAGCATTTGAATGTGAGGAATTGTAAATCTTGTGGTAGTTGGTCAGTTAGACAGGTATCTAGGTAGAATTGATGACACAGCTATTTCTGGGTGCTGAAGCTGGCATGGGATTGGCTGAAAGTTGCAAGCAGAAAAAGAACGGGAAACTGGAACAGTATAAAAAGAAGCAGAACAAGTTTAATCCTGTCAGAGCGGACTGAAGCAGGAACGGTGTGAACAGACCCCACCCCCTCCCTTTACTTTTATTTTATTGCATTGTTTTGGTGTTATGAAGCATTGGGGCGAAAGTCATCCTCAGGATCAAGTTGGTGGTAAATGGTTTTAAATAAAAGGCAGTCAGGTTAGTTATGACTGACTGGCTATTTGGTGGTTAATAAAGTTAAAAGTTTTTAAAGTTGGTGAACCATATGTTATATGGTTAGGGTTAAGGTTACAAAGTTACAAAGTTATGGTTACAAAATTATGGTTGTTTGCCCCTTGAGCTTTGAATAAACACCACGGCCAAGCCCATTGAAAAATAATTAAACATTGTCTGTGGTTATTGTGTGGTCTCGTTTTATTTATACGAATATTGCCTACTATACATTTCACAATTCACGGTGAATATAACATAAAAAATCTACTTATCTTAGAAACAACAGCTTCACAGGGTAACTGTCCCAGTTGGTTATCACAAAAAACAAGTATTTGTAGGAAGAGAAATGGGATACAGCTGTGTAATCTGAAAAGAATGTATTAACAGAACCTAGTGTGATATTGTCACAAATTAATAAAGTGACACACTTATTAAATTGCCTTCACAGAATGTATAGTTTTAAATCGCCTTAAGGTTAGCAGTGGGGGGGTTACAAAGACCTCCTCTCTTTCACTGATGTTTGAATCCAGGAACTGAGAGAAATAATCCAGGTAAGTATAGGAACATGGTGTACACACAGTGTAGGAGATTAATAATAAAGACCACCACTGGTGGGCACCTTTCTAACACTTATTCTTATATGCATGTACTGGCACTTTAAATGGTTAACATTAGATTGTTATATGCAATGATCTTGAATTACATATTTTATGAATTAGTCTAAGAAGAATTTTTATTAATACAATTTTCTCTTCTCCCCCTGACTCTCTGTATGTATACTGTCCATACTGAGTTGTTGTGTTGTGAATAAAGATGGACTTATGGACATTTGCAAAGGAAGGGCATTTGCCCAACTCTAAGATGGACGCTACAGAACTAACAGCAGCAGTCTGTAAACACGCCCAATCTGTGACGCGATACTTGACGTTCCGGGTCACGTGGGGCGCCCTGTAATCGGAGCATTATTACCTTCAACGGACGCAGCTGTTTACAATGGGCAGGGCAGCTCTGAGAACGGATTGGAGGAGGAGATAATTGAATGACCAAACAGAAGGAAGAGCATGATATTTAAACAACAAACAGCAGCAAACACATGACCGACTGAGAAAGCTGTCACAGTACAGCAAAACGCGTCTTGGCAGGAAGACTGGAGATTCTACTTCAAATTTTATATATTCATTTGTTTATTTTTTGTAAGTTTTAATTTACTCATTAAATAAATTTTGTTTTATATTTGGAATCCATCTTCCATTTTGCTGCTTAAAGAAGGGTGGCAGCCTCCTTAAAGGCACAGATAATAACACACCAGGAGCCAGGTATTGGGCTCCTTATCAGGTGAGAAGCCAGTTTTCCTAATATTAGGCACTGAGTACTGGGATTTATTACACTAGGGGATCTTTGCTTCCCCTTTTTCTTCCTCTTATATATGCATAAGGATCTTCTGACGATTAAAGCATCGATTGGGTACCGTGTCACCATAAGCACACGCAAGCCGTTGAGATCTGAGCCTATCCTATAGGGCTCTGTTACATTTGAGTGAGACCATATAGAACATTCACTCACTGGATTTATCACAAACGTTACTTGCACTATTTGCACTTATATCTGTTTCAGATACACTGTTGTGTAATACGTTCCTCATACATATGTATGTCAACCCATATGGGTGAGTCTGTATATATTTAAGCGCTCCACATGCACACCAGTGGTGGTCTTTATTATTAATCTCCTGCACTGTGTGTACACCTGGTTCTTGAATTGATTTATAGGGAAGAGAGTCCATATTTTCAGTGGTAGCTGCTACTATTGTTTATTTTACTATTGACTGTAAGCGCCTTGAATACACAGATTTCTAATTGCTTTTGTGAAGTATAGGAACATATATTATACAAAAATAAACAATATAAAGTTAAATTAAATTAAAATAGACAATAAGGTATTGAGCTGAGGTCCTACAGGTTTCGTTCGTAAAAGAACTTCCTCAGGGACCTCAAATATTATAACAAACACAATCAAAGTAATTAAATACAGTTAAAAAAAATGCATGAATTGCTCCCTCCCCCAACTCTCATTATATAGGGGCAGTTCCTCCAGATCACTCATACTCAGCTGTGAGCACTTAATGAATATTCTCTGTGTTGCAACCGCTGCCCTGTATCTTTTAGCACTTTCCACGCATTCTGTCTCAAACTGTTTTCAAGCACCCATGGCACTAGCCCCTTACTTGCATATAACTTGTGGGAAATTCAACTTATTCATTAACAATATCAAGTCCATCCATACTTTAAAAGCATTCATTGGCTCTGCGTGTTCACTGACAACAATGTATGTGTTCTGAATATTATTTACAAAGTCAGTCTGTGTTGCTTTATTTATTGAGTGCAAATAGAGAACATTGTCCTTTACAATAATTTTTCCCCCCAACTTGAATTTTTTTGATTATCAAAATGTTCAAAGTTAGCAATCATTACATTGTGCAGTAAATACAACGCGTGAGACAACATGTTGACATTACATATCAATATGTTCAGTGTATACATTCATGTCATTAAGTAATTACATAGTTCTGCAATCTGAGTGCAGGTTTCTGTGTAAATTGTAGTGTGTCAGTTATACGAATAGTGCCCACCAGTTTACTCCACATGTTGCAGTAAATAAATGTATAAAGAGTAATACGTAAAACCAAAAGAACAAAAAAGAACACATGAGCAGTGGGCTAGGTAACTTTGACTCACAGTGGTGTACGTGAGCTGATGTATTTTACCTGCAGTGTGTAACTTCCCAGGGAAACTGTTCAGTTATGTGGTTGTAGTTTATTAAGTGTTCTCTGATTGCTTGGATATGTAATCTGACCATAAGCGTAGCACCTCTTTAGTCGCTTTACCCCTATGGAGTTGGATCTGGATCATACCTTTGTAATCTAAGTTTTGTTGTTTGTTTAATTAGACAATTTATTTTAATAATACTGTAGGGATAATTGTGGAGTAACATATTAAAAATAATATTTTGTTTAAATTATGAAAAATTATTTTCCAGATAATATGGCAAAAAAATAAATTTAGTTTGTCTGTGTACATAATTCCCGGTATATTAACCATGTTTTTTAACTATATTAACCCTTGTATATAACCACTTCTAAATATATCTAAATATATATGAGTGATAAAAGTGTGATCTATAACTACAATTGTCAGTTTCACTAACTGTCATTTTCAATAACTTTCATTAACAGTATTTATATTACCCTAAATATATGTAATGCAACAATAGAGGAAATTTAGGGCCCAAATCACTCTGTCCCTTTTTTTACTCTTAACTCCTTAATGACTGAGGCAGTTGTACAAGTTGTGATAACAAAAAATGTAAACATAACTTTGAATTTGCACTATACGTCTATTCAACCAGAATTCACCTCTTTCATATTAAATGCACCCACATTTATTATATATAATTTTGTTCAGGAGAAACAGGGTTTTTATGTCATATCAAATATTTATATATGAAACAATTTAATATGCATAAAATATAAAACTAATTAAGAAATTAAGAAATGTTATTTTTTTTAGTTCTGCATGGAATTTTAACTGTGAATAGCATAACACTGTTAACTGTTACTGCAATAAAATACACATATTTGTATTCACTGATGTCTCACGAGTAAACCAGTACCCCAAATGTACAGGTTTTATGGTGTTTTGGAAAGTTACATGGTCAAATATAGCACGTTACAGTTTTCAGTTTATACACATTGAAATTTGCCAGATTGGTTATGCTGCCTTTCAGACCAAATGGTAGCCCAGGAATTAGAATTATCCCCATGATGGCATACCATTTGCAAAAGTAGACAACCCAAGGTATTACAAATGGGGTATGTCCAGTCTTTTTTAGTAGCCACTTAGCCACAAACACTGGCCAAAGTTAGCGTTCATATTGGTTTGTGTGTGAAAATTGCAAAAAAACAAATTTTAACGCTAATTTTGGCCAGTGTTTGTGACTAATAGGGTAAGGTAAGTGCATAGGACGGCAGGGATATCCTTAGGGGTTTAATGGCCCTCTTTTGTCCATATAGTTGCTGTATCTGAGTACATAACAGAGGTCCACAGCAATAATGTGTCTTTAATCTACAATAAACGTCTTTTATAATTCAGTCTGTGTAAGTAAAATACATTGGTTTTTTTCTCTAAATTACATTTTAGTTGCATAAGCCGTTTTTACTAATTCACCTAAAATTTCTCAGAACAGCCCTGCCACTGGCCACACCTCTACTCACACCCCTAAAATAAAAGTGTCCCTTTTTCTCCATTTAAAATGTTTGGAGGTACGCTGTAGTGCCCCTTTACACTATTCTGTGGTAGCAGAGAATGACTCTGATATTTCTTCTGGTGCGAAGTCCTTCATTCTAAAATTTACTTTATTCCATTTGTTGAAATATTCTTGTTTTCCATTTTTGCTTTCCACCACAAACTTATCAATTTTTATCAAAGGGATGTCCTGAAAGTTGTGGTAGGTGCCAGAAATCCCCCAATCTTCTTTGCATTGTGGATTATTGCAGAATATCTTGAATTTCTTTTTATAGTCAGAGAAACCAAGTGGCTTTTTATGAGGTTTTGTAAAATAGCGTTCTTTGAAGGTGCTATCAATCACTGTGTGATGAGATTTCTGTGGGCAAAAGGAAACAGTGAATTGTTAAAGGAACACAATAGGATCAGTAACAAAATGTGTTACTAGCCCCCCTGCCCACCTAAATATAGTAAAATCTTACTTGTATTCAATTCTGCAGCTGCTGCCTCTGCCCCTGATCTGCCTGATTGGCTAAAATCATCAGAAGTTATTTTCTGAGCCAATCACAATGCTTTCCCATAGGATTGGATGAAACTGCCAAGGAGGCAGATCAGGGGTAGAGCCAGCACAAGTCAAACACAGCCCTGGCCAATCAGCATCTCCTCATAGAGATGCATTAAATGAATGCATCTATATAAGTAAAGTTCAGTATCTCCATGCAGAGGATGGAGATAGTGAATGACACTGCCCCAGGAAGCACATCTAGTAGCCATCTGAGGAGTGGCCAGCGGAGGTATCCCTAGGCTGTAATGTAAACACTGCATTTTCTCTGAAAACAGTGTTTACTGCAAAAAGCCTGAAGGGAATGATTCTACTCACCAGAACAAATACAATAAGCTGTAGCAGGGGCGTACTTGGGGCATTTGGCACCCGGGGCGGATCCTATATTTGCCCCCCCCCCCCCTGCAGCTTAAAAATGTAAAAAACACCCACAAATGTTTTAAATGTATTTAGCACTGAGCAGTCAGGGCCGCCATCAGGGCATGACAACCGTAACGGTTGTCATGGGCCCGGCGGTCCTGGGGGGCCCGGACTGCTCAGGTCGTCCGGGCCCCACATTCAGTGGGTACATACCGGGTCGCAGGGGGCCCGGTATGTACCCACCCCTGAAAGCCGGCCGGCGCGCGAGGGAGCACTCTCCTCTGCTGCTTCCTCTTCGGCTCCCTCGCGCACCGTACTGAAGCCAGAGCCGGAAGATGACGTCATCTTCCGGCTCCGGCATCAGTACACGGCGCGCGAGGGGGCTGAAGAGGAAGCAGCAGAGGAGAGTGCTCCCTCGCGCGCCGGCCCGCCAGGTGTGGTGGGGGGGGAGGAAATTTAAGGGAGGAAGGGGGGAAAGAAATTGGAGGGAGG